TAGTGAATCAGGTACTCAGGATATACTTGATTTGGATCAAAAATAACAAAAATGTTAGGATTATTGATATCATTCACACAGCTGTCATGAATGTTTTCAGGAGATCCATGATCAGGTTTTAGGAAGTCAGAATGTCCAGCAGTTGATTTTCCGATCATCACTCGAGCCAAAAACATTATTTTAGTAGATCCAAGTTGTGTCCTTTGTGTTTTCCTGCCATCCACCGGAAACGGATCCGTGCTGCGTTTACTGTATTTGTTGGCGAATGTGGCATATTTGGCAAAATATATCCCTACAAAAAGGAAACATACAGGTTAGCTGTGCTGAACAGTTACTTACATTGTAATGATTGCACAGGCATGATGACTATATCAGTAAACTTACCTTTGCCATATGAACTGCCATTTTGTCCAGCTAACCGTAAATCAAAGTTGTACTTGCAAATGCTGTCAACATTTTTTTTTTCGGTCCCATGAAAGAGTCGTCTCTCCTTTATGTCCTTGACTCCTTGAATCCTCATTAACTGCTTCTTTTTCCTTTAACACAAACAAAAGAAAAAACATATTGGTAATACAGAAGGGGAGTGATGAAAGGACAGGACAGAGTTAGAGTGTGAGACATTTTTACCTGCAATACATTTCCCAAAGGTCCAAATTCTGTATCCTATAAATTGTTAGAATGGATCTATCCAGCAGTCCATCTTTCTTCACGTAGCTTGAGACAGTGTGGTACTCCGGGGTGCGTTCATTCAGAGGGAATAACTATAAAATACATCAGATTTACACAGTTGAAACAAACGAGAAAGCAAATAAAAACATTCATGCAGTGAATTAAAATGTAAAAACTGACACTCTTAAGTGCAAGGGATGATTTTTTTTTTGTTCTTTCTGAAGTGAGGGGAGAGATCTTTAGACTGCATTATAGTTCTTGATAAGCGGTTCTGTAGACTCCCTCCACTTTTACAACATGTAGTGCTTAGCATTATGAAAAATATTCAGTTTCTAACAAATTGCTTAACATGTTAATGATTTTACACTAATTCTGACAGCTACATAACTGGCACAAACTAAGGATGCCTGTAAGTTTGAAAACATTTGCAATATCTCAAATCAATCCAGAACTACATCATAGTGTGATTATTACCTGATATGGACGCGTGGGGTCAACTGTGTCCCAGAACACCGGAGCAGCGCTGAAGCAGGAACAGCTGTTGGGAGGACAGAAACCAGTTGACTGAGCCAACAGTTTCACTTTCGTTTAGCAAGAAACCATACTGAAGTCTGACGCGTGTGAGTCTGCCGCACCGGCTGTGTTTATGTAAATATTACAAGTTTCATTTTACCTTCTTTCAATGTAGGTGCTGCGCTGGATTCTTCTGACTCTTCCTGTGGTGAGATCAGTCTGTAACATTGCTGCACAGGGACACATACATCATTTAATGTCAAGTTCCTTATAGGTAGATGAGAAGTGTGAAGAAGTGAAATGTTGTCACTCACCTGAGAAATCAATCTTGATGCGGCAGTTGGATGAACTACTGCTTAAAGTTCCAGTTTTGTTTTGTCGGTAATACGAGTCAAGCTCCTCGTTTTTGAGGCGGTTATTGGGGTCGTCCTGCAGGAAAGGAATCAGACATGAAGTTGTGCTTCACAGCTGATCAGCTTCACTTTATCTAATAACTGTGAAAACCACTTTACCTCAAAGCGATGCCACCTTCCACAGTCTGCCAGGTAACACCAAACCCACGGGGTCTCTGATGTGTCCATGCGTTCCACTTCATTGTCCAACATTGTATAAAACAAACTATCTAAATGAATGAAAGGGCTCGTCCTCCCTCTAGTATCCTCAGGTGGATATTAAAGTTGACACCGGTGCTGCCGACTACTTATGCAACTCATTCAAAGCCACACCTTCTGAGGTGGGCTGGCCTTCGTTACTAAGGAACACAAGCGGAAGATTACGTCAGTCTTCCCCTGAAAGTGAATTTTTAAAAAAACAAAAACTGATTGGATGTGCTTATGTTAAAAGGTTTATTAGTTGTAACGTGCAAATTACAGACACACATATAGGTTCACATACTACTCACACACTCACAGCTGCAGTGATTTGACTGAAGAGATCAGGTTTCTTGCATTTCAACTAGAGTAGCTTAAGATCCATCCTTTCACTTTTTGTACGCCACCTTGTGGAGAACTTACGATAAAAACCCCCTTTTTTGGCATGAATTCAACAAATGCACACAGCAAAGCAATTTCATTACAGTACTACACATGTGCTGGCTACATTCATTTTTTTTTCTTTTCTTTTTTCTTTTTGTTAAATTTACACCAGGTGCAAAGAAAACCTGCTTATTTCTCAAGAGACAGAAATCAGCCGGAGGTGACGTTACACTCAGATGATTTAAAAATGTGACGCTAAAACTTGTTTTGGTTTGAAAAAAAATGAACTCTTATGAAGCTCAATCGTCCAGACTTTTATAGACTGTAGTCAGAAAAGATACACAGAAACGACATATTACTCGGGGACGACAAGTGAACACGACATCACAACTTTATGTCATTATGACACAGTTACAGAACCTTTCGTAGAAAGGGGTTAAAGTGCACTGATGCATGGTTTAAAAAAGAGGTAGAAGCGTTTTGTTTTTTTTATGACAAAAATAAATAAACAGAAATCCATGCCTATATAATTCATTGTACACACAGGTTTTGACAGGTCACGGTGTATCATGAGCGAGCTGGAACACGTTTTTTTTGGTTCGTAAATAAGCGTGGCACTGTGAACGTGAGGGAATGGATGTGGCCAATGGCAGGATATCACCTATAATCTACAGGCTGCGAGTGCCACTCTTATTTTGTTCACTGAACGAGCAAGCACAGATTGTGAATTTGCCACAAGGACTCCTCTTCAGTTGTCATTTTACGTCACAACCACAAGGTCTCGTCTAAAGACACACTGTACACTGTATATAAACTGTACACAATGTCTTCTGTTGTCTTCCTGCTTTTCCAATTTCTCCAAAGGCACTTTAGACGACCCACGCTCCAGTTAGGTCTGGATCTGGTTGAATAAAAAAAACATCAAATGTCTGTTCTTTTTTTTATCTCGTTTTTTTTTTTTTAATGCTGGAGATCCAACCTTTATGATAAAAAAAGTAGATGTTAGGCATCAGTAGAACTCAATCAGATACTCTGGGTAAATCTGATTGCTGTCGAAAATGACATAGATCTTTGGATTGGCCATATCATCCACGCAGCTGTCATAAAAGTTGGTGAAGCTGGCGTCCTTGGAGGGCGGTCTGCAGTACATGGGATGACCGACGGTGTATTCTCCGACGAGCACTCTGGCCAGGAACATCGTCTTATAGGGCGGCTCGCTGGCAAATATTGGCGGCGCGAGTCCGTGTCTCTGTAAGGTGGTGTTGTGTTTCCCTGTGGTGTGACAGAACTTGCTGGAGTATTTGGCATCTCGGGCAAAGTAGCTCCCTGCAGGAAGGACAATCGTGTTAAAAATCAGACAAACAGAAGTGCAGTGAATTGTTTCATGATGCTACGCCACAACTAAAGGCGAGGTACCTTTGCCATAGACGTCGCCATGGCTCCCTGTCAGCCGCCAGTCGAAGTTAAACGTACATATAGCTTGTATGTTGCTGTGTCCTGTGCCGTGAAACAGCATCCGCTCCTCAATGTCCAATGTTCGCTTGACTTTTCGCAACTGTGTTTTCTTCCTTAGGGGAGAACCAAGGAGTGACAACAGAGCACTGATCACCACTTTGACACTGGACGACAGTATTATGCAAGTCCTAACAAAGAGCTACAGGGATGTGATCGAGACCACAGAAGAATAACAGGGGAGCTTGGATGAAGTTTAATAGTTTGTTTTTCTTCTATAGTGTCTGCAGTAAAGTAAGTTAATTGACGTAAAAGGAAACAGTCAAATTAGAGTCCACTCATAATTATACAGTAAATACCTGCAGAAGAACTCCCATAAGTCCAGGTTCTGAATCCTCTGGATGGATTTGATTGGATGATCCATCGTCCTCTCGTACAGTCTGGCTACTTCTTTAAACTCGTATGTGTCTCGGCCGAGCTGGATGAGCTGCGAAAACAAGAGCACGCGCAAGTTTTAAACTCTGTAAAAAGAAATCATGCAAGATCAGTGAAAAAAGTGTTGAAGTGATTCAGATGTTACTTTAGGTTTGCCACCAGATCTAAGCTGAAGAAATCCTCATTTCTTTTCATAGTTAGCTGTATAAGAACAACACAACAGAGCACTTGTTCTAATTATGCAGCAGGGACGCTTGATGTCAGATATGCGCTGGTCATGTTTTTTAAGCGGATATTAAATCAAACTATGTTTAAATATCTGCTGCAGTTTTTGTCCCACTAATCATAACTACAAAGAGTCTGTCTGGTGTTTTTATTTCTTATCCTTCCCTGAAGATACATTTTAGAAGCAATTCGACAGAGTGTCATAGTAAACCTTAAACTCCTAAAACATCTTCCCTGAAAAAGCGCTATTTTACTCCAACAGGCTCCTCAAAATTAATTTCTAGAACCTGTGGCATGCTGACAGTATGAATGTGCTGCTGAAAGTTCTGCAGGGATTTTGTGATGCCAGCATATTCATAAACACAGTCAGTCAGTAAATACAAAGATCCATGTGGGATATTTACAGCATCTTTTCTGTCTTCAAAGAATGCGACTCTTTGGGGTAAAATGCTCTCAATACCAAAAACTGTTTGTGGATCACATTCAGTGACAACTCACTGTGTGCCACAATAATGTGAGTTATTGTCCTCCTCACCTGATAGGGTTCATCTGTGTTGATCCTCTCCCAGTGACAGGGTACCGGCAAGGCAAGATTATCACAAATAAACCTGTCAGAGAATAAATAAAGGAGAGGGTTAATATATAAGTAGTTAGTAAAAGCTTGCAAAAAAAGATTCTAAAATATGCATTTTTAGAGGCAGAAATCCTCTTTTGTTCTTTGCATTTTGCAGAGAGCAAAATTCAGGGTCGGCAGCAGGGCAGCTCCCTGTAGAGCTGGTTTGAAATTCAGGGTTGAACTCAAGGATTCCTGAAGTCAGGAGCTACATGAACCCTGACTGTTTATTTAAAACATTGTTTTCTTTACTCAGGCTGCACATCATACATAGTCAGCACTGAGACTTTGATCTGTGCATGTGCAAGAGCCACACTGTAGGAAGTGCCATGTGAAGTGAGGCAAACTACCTCAAACACATCATGATACAACCTTTTTGTTCCTGCTGGATACAAAAGGAAAACCTGCATAGTTCTCATTTTCCATGACTAACATGGAACAGGGGTCTGTCTGAGAAAACACGATTTATTTCAATTTAAGGGCTCTTTTTTTTACTTTATTGATAAAGCACAGAGTTCGTTGACCTGCATGGTCCACATGTCCACAGCAAAATGGGTGAGAAACAGCAGAGAAACACAAATTTGGCTGCAAAAAGTAAATGCAGTATCAGTTGGATGGAAATGTGGACGGTGGTGACCAAAAAACCAGCACTCTATTGGCAGTGGTTTGCAATTTTCCCCACTACATGAGGAAGCACAACTAATTTGTTTGACCATTTTAAATGAGCATCACAAAGCTCTGTTTGAGTGCAAAGCCAGATCTGAGTACATCCAAAAAAAACCAAAAAAACATTTTGGATGCCTGTGACGGTGTAACGCCATATGAGAAAGGTTCCAAATAAAGTTTATTTTCAACGCAGTTGCATTCCCCTACAAAATAACCCCAATCACTCTTGAATGATTAATTCTTTCCAAGTAGTTATTCAAGTCATCTGGTACTTGGGGTCTGTATTGTTTCATATCACGGTTGATCAAAGACACCTAAAGAATTTTGCAATCTGTGTTTTTTCCAGTTCCGTAGAACAATGTTTTCTTAATCACAACCTGATCCCGTTCCCTCTAACTTTCTTCATGACTCCTTTCTCAGCTAGCATTAAAAAATGATGAAATCCTCTGTTCATTTCAACGACCAAATCTTACCTGAAGCCAGTTGCAGAGTGGAGGGAGCGTTTGATTGGCCGCTGCTTCCCCGTTGTTACATTTATCTGTCGCATAACTGGTGAAGAATGTAGTAAAGATAGTGTCAACAGAAACTCCTATTCATGTACAACATAATTCACACTTAAATATGACTGATCTCCACTGGGATCCATGTACTACTTTCATTTCAAGTAGCTTGAATGTTCTGTCTGGTCATGGGTGTTTAACGTTCACTCATAATCCTACCTGAGAAGTCCAGTCTGTACGTGTACTTGGCCGTGTAGAACTCCATGACACCACGCTGGTTCCTGTTGTAGCACTGCTCAATCTGAGAACTCGTCACAGAACAGGCTGCACTGGGATCAATCTGACACATTGAGAAAGACGATTTAATCAAATGGAGAGCCGAACCGAACAGTTAAATCACGTGACAGAAAAACTAATCAGAAGCTACTTGGATAACAGATTGATTCTTCAAATCAAAGGAGGTTTCCAGTCAAAAGTTGGATGGCATCACATTAATTTGCAAGTATGTTTGTCAAGCAAAAACATTGATTTTCTTTTTGCAGGCGCTCCAAAGTTAGAGGCTTTTCTTCGTTTTCTGTCTTTGTAAACTGATTGTATTTGGGTTTAAAAATGTTGGCAGGACACACAAGACATCTGAAGATGACACTCTGGATTGGCAAGAACAGTTTTCAGCTACTTTTTGACATTTTACAAACCAAACTATGGACTGATTAATCAAGAAAACAACTGTTACTTGACATCCTAGAGGAATTCTTAAATCTTTTATATGAGGTAAACTGAGCAACTGGTAGTAACTGAAGACACCACCTTCAGAAAACTGCCACCATTTCTGACATAACACTGGTACTTGCCTGTTGGTTGTAGTCTAATGTTTCACATATGCACAGTCTTCATCAATACATTAAAATGATCCCTGCTCTGATTTTTTTGTTTGCACTCCATATTTTTGTGCCAACCAAAATGCTCTCAGTAAATCGACTGATTTTTAACCTCAACCAAAGTTGGAAAACTAGTCTGCAACATTACACCGATTAGTTCTACTTAAACCTGCAGACTTTGGTTTCAAAATTTCACCAAGAATGACCAAATCAGGGGTAATATGCTGGAAACACAGTACAAAAAAAAAACTGTCAGAAAAGTCTGTGTAAAGTTGTACTATCATGTAAACTACCTCGAACATGTGCCACACTCCACACTCAGCCAAGTAGAACCAGCACCAGTTGGGCTCTGAGGTGTCCATCTCCTCAATCTCTGTGGACTCCTCCTCTGACGATCTGATGGCTAACATGGCTAAATCTGAAATTAGTAAGTGACAACACGCGAGCACACTTAGGCAAATCGCAGCTACAAACACAGTATGGGGGGCCAATGTGGTGTTTTATTCGTCAGAGGACGTCAAGGAGTTGTTTTTAAGCCATGGTCTTGAGGGCATTTCAAAACTGCCATATCGAACTAGCTAACCATTAACGGCTGCCGCACCCGACTCCTCTCGGCTCTACGGGTGTCTTACCGGCTCTGAGCCTGCGTCTAACTGGCTGTCTGGCCTTATCGGCAGAAAAAACCTTCATACATTATTAATAAAGCACCAGAAAAATCACAGACCCGGTCTGCGTTAAAATCACTAACGGTAAATCTCATTTTCCTCTTCCTCTACCTTGTTTACTTTTATTTCCTGCTTCGTCACACACCTGACGTCACCGCGTCAGTGTCATGTGACTCCTCCCCCCTCGCCTTTGCATGGAGCACTGATTCCCTGAGTTTGTCCTGTCAGGTGCTGCACATAATCTGTGCAGGAAAACTGGTGTTGTAGATAAATGGTTAAAAGGTTGAAAAATTACAGTTTTTTTGTTTTTTAACTGCTGATTTAAACTGTGAACAGAAGCTCATTTCAATGCATCTCTCATCAGCCTCTCACTGTTCACTGGAGAAGTAACAAGGATCAGCCCGAGTGTGTGTGTGTGTGTGGTATCCTTGAGGACACACCCCTCCTTAGAATTAAGCTTTTCTTGAGACTTCGCTCAGAGAAGCAGGAATTTTACCATATGCATCCACTGAAAGCTCACTGGTGAGTTTTACATGCATTCACATCTTTACCAGAAGGCATTTTTTTCTTTTTCTTTTTGGCATTCCAATGTTTAGTGATCAGTGGAGTTATTTGCAGCTAAATGGTATTTGGTAGAGGCTTTTGTCAGAACATCTTTTCTTTGCAACGGTTTATTACACTGCTTTGAGAGTTATTTCACCTGTAAAAGCTTTAGTTTTATAGAGGCATGTGTTGCTAGAGAGCTGCAGAGCCTATAACAGACATTACATTTCACTGCATGCAACAGTCCTGGAGACCATGACTGAGGAAACAGCCAGAGGGGCCCCTGCTGGAGAGTCTGGTCCGGACAAACAGGCTCCAGAGGAAGGGGCTCAGCAGAGGGAGAAATGGGCCAACAAGACGGAATTCATTTTCGCCATGGCTGGAGAAATAATTGGCCTTGGAAACATTTGGCGTTTCCCTTATCTGTGCTACAAGAATGGAGGAGGTGAGAGTTGGTGGGAGCTTTTGGTTGATGGAAGCTGAGGTTAGAGGACTGCAGATGGCCTGGACGTGTTGCATTTGCATGTGTTGTGTGCATGTGTGATCAAGAAAATGAGAGAAAAGGTTTAAAGGCTGGCAGATGACAAGAAATCCAACGGTTGAGAGGAGACACCAGATGGAGAGTAAACAGGCAATTTCATCTGTGACCATGTTCATGCTGCCTGGATGCACTTTAAGACTTCTGATATTTTTCACAGCAGAAATTTGAGCTACATTCTCCTGTCAGGAATCCAAAACTACAAACAAAACATTTTTATTCACTTGATTTTTCGAGTTTAATAATCGGCTTTCTCATAAATCTGACAATATGTCGGGATGTGTGACTTTATCATCTATGCTTTTTAGGTGTCTTCCTCATCCCGTACTGTGTGTTCCTCTTTTTTTGCGGCATCCCTGTGTTTTTCCTGGAGACGGCGTTGGGCCAGTACACCAGCGAGGGCGGGGTCACTGCTTGGAGGAAGATTTGCCCCATGTTTGAGGGTAAAAAAGTGTGATGTTTGTGGTATTACATAAGCATTAATCAGTTGACTTGCCACAGATGCCTGTTTTTCACTGTTTTCTTCATTGCTATTGCAACAATGCTGTATCTGTTTGTAGTCTACATGGTTTTAAAAAAAAGTACTTATTTTTTGCTGACTTTCCACGAACTTCCCGTATAAGAACACATGTGTGTCTCGAAACCAGCTGAGTGTTGCAGACGTGTAACTATTGCACAATACAGCAAAGGGAAGCATGTCTGTGAACTCTAACTTCTCCTGCAGGAGTGGGAATTGCATCCCAAGTGATTGTGACCTATCTCAACATTTACTACATTGTTGTTCTGGCCTGGGGTATCTTCTACCTCATTAACTCCTTCAAAAGCCCTCTGCCCTGGTCTACGTGTGACAACTATTGGAACACTGGTAAGTGTTTCTTTGTTTTGTTCCTACAAAACCCTGCTCGTATAAACACATCTGGATTTTATTAGCAGCGTGCAGAGGAAGTGCAAGGCAAATTCTCTCCAAACTTCTTATGCAACTAATCTCACTTTCATCCCTCTGTCCTCAACCTCTTAGAACAGTGTCACAGTTCAGCTAGCGTGTTCACCAACCCTGACCTGTACCGTCCCAACTTCAACTGGTCGTTCCTCAACAACGTCACCTCACCTGACTACTTCGACGAGGACGACACTTACCTGTGAGTCTTTATTCCTGAGTTGGATTGCAAAGGATTCTAAGAATTATGGTGTTAGTCTCGGCTTCATAGATAAAACATCGTTGGGACGCACCCCTGCTTTAATGTGTTGAGATGAAAATCTGTTTCTGGTGTTAAAAGGATTAATCGCTGCTTTGGGACAGTTTGGGAATAAAAAGTGCAGCCAGTAAATCTGAATTAGTTGTCCGACCTCCGTTTGATAGTTGTGGGAAACCAGATAAAGGTTCAAATGGTAAAAAACCAAAACAAAATTCAATTATTAGTTTCTCATGATAACAACCTTTATTTATGCAGCACTTCAAAGCAAAGTTGTGAAGTGCTTTACATGGTTAAAGGAGGGTTCAAATATTTCAAGAAAGGGGCGACTTGATGACCGAGTGGTTATGGAGCGTACCAACAGTGCACAAGCGCCATCAGTAGTGGTTCATTTTCAATACTGGATGTCATTGCTTTGTTCCCTTCAGTCTCTATAAAACTACTTAACAATAAAGATAAAAATAAGTAAGTTGTGCTGGTGTTGAAGCTCTGTGTGTGTGTGTGTGTGTGTGTGTGTGTGTGCTCATTCCTTTGAACACTATTTATCATAAATTAAACCTTCATTGAGTGCTGATAATTGTTTGCTATCTATGCAAAACTATGTAAAGTTAGACGTTTTTTTTTGACACACTTTACTCACTCTCATCTTTCTGTTTCCAGCAATAACACATTCATGATGGGCCACTCACCGGAAGAGGAGTTCTGGAGGTGAGAAAACACGCTTATCTTCCCAAACCATGAGAAATGACCTTTGACAGTAATACCATCCTCCCCAACGAGCTTGTCTGTGGGTGGAACATTCTTCGGCAATCGCTCCTAATGCCTCCCAGATACCCAGAGGTCGTCTTTCCTCCGAGTTAACGTGATGTTAATGGGGAACGAACCAAAGGTGAACCCGGGCTGTCCGAACGCGGCCATGAAAATGAGCCACAGAAGCCACAAATGACTGCTTTCTCTGTGTTATTTAACTTGCAGCTTTGATCAATAGCAGCTTGCATCCCAGTTATTTAAATGTTGGGAAATCACCTCGCTGTGATGAGAACAACATGCGCCGTAAACTGAAGTCATCCAAAATGAATGTTACCATCTGTATTTATGATGAGGCGCTTGATGCTTTGCGACATACATGCAGTCGGAAATATGGAAATATGTGCTCCTTTCCTTAAGTCGGAACACATTTTTATCAGGTTGTTCATTCGCAGTGGGAGAAAGCTTTCAGGAAAGAAACAACCCACGTCTCTTCGTGTTGCACATCTGTACACCAGCCATTCTTCATGTTCTTTGCAGATGTGTGAGCTTACGTGCATCTATTTCCCCACAGGCATCGTGTTTTGAGAATGTCAAATGATATGTCCTTGACCAAAGTGCACTGGGACCTGGCTCTGTGTCTCCTGCTAGCCTGGGTTATATGTTACTTCTGCATCTGGAAGGGAATCAAATGCACTGGAAAGGCGAGTACTTCCTTCACTCAGAGGATATCAGGTTGGAATTCCTTAATGCATGTGTTAGATTGGATTAGATTAGATCAGATTCAGCTTTGCTGACAGAGCGCAGAGTACGAAGACGATGAAATGCAGCATCTAAGCAGACATGCAAAAGAAACAAAGTGCAATGGAAAACGTCGAAGTGGAACAGCTTTGAGGGCAGCATGAATGTGCTAGCATACAGTTGAAACCAGAAGTTTACCTACACTGTATAAAAAGACACATTTTTTTCTCACTATCTGACATTAAATCAGACTAAACGTTTCCTGTTTTAGGTCAGTTAGGATTACCAAAATTATTTCTATTTGCTGAACGCCAAAATAATGAGAGAGAGAATTTTAGAGATTTTTTTTTTTGCTTTCTTTAAAGTCAGAAGTTTACGTACACTAAGATTACTATGCCTTCAAACAAATTTGGAAAGCCCAAATGATGATGTTGTAGCTTTGGAAGTTTTTGATAGGTTAATTGACAACATTTTGAGTTAATTGGAGGCCTAAAACAAGAAAAGTTTGGCCTGATTTAATGTCAGAAAGTGAGAAAAAAAAAGTTTTTTGTGTCTTTTTATATAGTGTATGTAAACTTCTGGTTTCAACTTTATATGCAAAAGTAGGAACAGTGCATTTAAGCATGAAAGATATATGACTATCCAATGTATATGCAGTACGGATACGTTTAGTATGATAGGTTATGAACAGAATTAATAGAACTATACAAGTATATGAATAAAATAAAGTGTATGTAATATAAGTGTGTTAGATAAATGTAAATACAATAGCTGCCAGCTGTCTTTAGCTCATCTCTCTTTCTCTTTATTTGCTTCTCTGTAATGGCCATAGATTTAATAAAGAGGAATTATTAAGTGATAATTAGTGCACTGAAAATTCTAATCCTTTTTCAGTTGTGTTTACTTATTTAGGATTAGACATTCAATGCGTTTACTTTCTTGGGATTCAAATGGCCGACACTTAAGAAACACACAGCCAGTGATTCTTTGCATACAAAGGATGTGATGTTGAAGGAAAAAGCCAGCATATTTTCTTATTTCATAAGTGTTTCTGTCACTGCTGCCAAATGTTGTTTTTGTTAATATAATCAGTGAAACTTGTTTTACCGATGAGCCTCTTTCAGACATTTAATCTGATGATGTCTGATTGTGTCGGCTTTGTCTCTGAATGAGAACCTAAGTACTTTTAATAGGTTGGATTTACTAACATTTCTGTATCGCTTTTAGCATCATCACATAATGCTTTCACATTCACTTAAAGCATCACAGGTGATGTACTTCAAGTTGTTTGATTTAGAGCAGGCTATTTCCACATCTATGTCTAACATTGGCCCCAAACCCCTTTCTCCGTCACTTTGTCATACAATTTTATGTCTATTATCGACTGAAATGTTCATAAAATTAAGATTTTTAGACAGACTGCACCATATTAGATTAATAAAACTCACCAATAATGAAATCTGGGTCTTGAGAAAACATCAGCTGAAGTTTAACTTGTTGTTTCCAGCTGTTTGCAGGAGCCTTTCCTCTGAGTTTATTAACTACATGCAGCATAAAACAGCAGCAGGATTCATGTGAGCGTCTCCAATGCAAGACAGTTGTGTACATTTACACTTTTAAGTCACTCAATGCCACTTTATTCTATATTCAGAATATGACAGATGCATAAAGAATCCGTACTCTCTCTGCACTGGAACTCACAACTGACAAGAAGATCATCTGTCTTTTTAGTTCTCAACACATCTCTCTCTGTTAGAACCCTGAGCTTAAACAGGGTGAACACAATGTCCCGTTATCCTCAGCCCGTCCATCATTAACGTAAAAGTGACTTATGTCTGAATGACAGGCCTCCACTGTTGAATTTCTGTCACTGATGGATTGGCTGTCTGAGGTGTGTTTGCTGCCTCCAGTGGTCCAAACAGTGTACAGTTTTAAAGGATTAAACTTGATTCTACCACAGATGTTGTCAACTCTATCAGGATCTTATGTTTAAGAGTTTTATCTTTAAAAGTGTTCACTTTTATATTCTTACGAAAACAACTAATCACCTATTTTGCGCAATAAAAGGAAGCAATTAACATGCAACTCTGCAGCTGACTTACAAACTTCAGCTTTAAGGTTTTGGCTTACTGCTCTCACAAACCACAATTTAAGCATCTGCTTTCTATAAAAAAGCTTGGATTGGACTGAAACCCAGTGTAAACTCACAAAACAGTGGTAAAACTAAGCAAATGATTAGCCAATTAGTGTAGTGGAGCATTTAGCAGCTGAGGAACTAGATTTTTGTTCTGATGACGGCTAAAATATGTCTTAAAAGAATGTCCAGTAACATGAATCCACTGCTACTATTGATGTCTGCATTGCACAGGAAACTCTTTGAGAACACTTTGGAATGTGCTTACAGCTTGTTTCACTCAAACGAATCTGCTTATGCGACTTTAAACAAAAGAGCGGGTGTGTGACAAACTAACAGCTGGTGTACATGAAGGTAAAACCAGGCTCGTGTACGTTTGTGTGTTTGCAGGTTGTCTATTTCACCGCTTCCTTCCCATATCTGATGCTGTTGCTCCTCTTCTTCCGCGGAGTGACGCTGCCAGGAGCCGGAGACGGCCTGAGCTATTACCTCAAACCCGACTTCAACAAGATCGCTGATCCTTATGTAAGAACTCACTCTCACAATTAGCTTAGTTTTTATGACAGTGTTTGAGTTGGTAATGTGGCGCACATCTTCAGAAAGTTGCAGAAAGAGTCTGTCTGCAACCAAGCAGAACATCATCTGCCTTCTTTAGTTCTCGACACATTCCTCTCTGTGCTAATAGGATGAATACTGTGTCCTGTTATCCTCAGCTCCATCGCCTCCTCCTCCGCCTCCTCCTCCTCCTCCTCCTGCTTCTTTGCCTTGACTCTTGTTTCCGGTCCCAAGACAGAAACTTAACAAGAAAAGCAAACCAAAAATCCTCCTCCGTAGGAAGTTTGTCAAAGAAATCTTTCCCCATGAGTATACAGTAACATCATCACACAGGCGTAAAAACAGGGCTCTCCACTGGGAATTTCTAACTCATATTTAGGGTAGCTATATTTACCTTACAAAAAAGTCAGTGTAACTTGCTTGAAGCAAAGTCAGCGTAGCTAATTTTTATTTGCATTAAAAAAAAACAACCCTGCAAAACTATATTACACTGTATGAGTAGAGCTGGATTGAGGGTAAATCTTGGATTGTTTGGCATGCTGTTGCACAAGAGCGCTAAAATAAGAGGTTCTTTCTTTGGCTCGTCAGCCCTCTTCACCCCTCCTCATCTTCTCTTCCCAGCGTGACTCTCAGCTTCAGGGGTCGAATGTTATCACCGGAGGGTTAATCCTCGGAACAGGGAGGAGAGGAGGCTGCTTCCTCTTCCCATGTGGCTGTGTACATGTGCATGTTTGCATATGTATGGATGAGCATTCCACTGAGTGCTCATTCTTTATTAAATTAGGAAACTATCAAGGTTGGAGCCTCTCCATGTTTGCTTGTGGCTGTTGTTTTTGCTCTTTCTCATCTTTGATTTGCTTCTGTCCCGTTATGCAACTGGAATATCGAACATCTGCCTGTTTGACTTGAAAAAAAGGTCGAGTGAAAGACACTCAAACAGCTCTGATCCATCGTGGGAATGTCGCACTGTTTTGGGGGGAGAAGCTGTGAGAGTGTTACTCGAAGTGAGCAGGTGAAAGCAGTTATAGGAGAGTTATTAAATGCCAGATGCTCTTAAAAACAGAACTTGGAAACAGATTCTTTTCTAGAGTCTTGCTATAGCGTGCGACTGTCTGTGTTTTCTTGCTGCAGAGGAAATCGTGGTTGAGTTCTGGCCTGCATCTGGGCTCTGTTTACTGTGTGGATCCTTTTGTGTGAGTGTCAGTGTGTAGCAGCCAAGAGGACTCCAAAATAAAAGACGTGTTTCTAAAGACAGTTTGGTCTTTGTCCAGTGTAAAGATGTGACGATCCTTTGCCTCGGATTCAGGCTCCCATTTCTGACCCAGGGCTGGGAATAAGTCCGGCCCACTATGGGGCCAGAGCAGGGGCTTGTATATGGCTTTGGAGCCTCGCCAGCTCCGTCGTTTAGCGGGCGAGACAGAGCTCTGGTGCCTCTAATGTTAAACAGATGCTGTCGGGACCACGATTGTTTGAACAAACCCTCCTACACACTGAGACCTTAACGCTCGCTCGCATATTTGTGAGTTATGTCACAGAAACAACAAAATGCAAGCTCGTGAGGTTTACATGTCGACAGAGAGGATGCTGGGTGGTTCTGTGCAGCTCGAGTGAGTTGTCTGTGATTTTTTTCCTCTTGCTCTCAAAGGAAAGATGGAAAACATATGCTCAGGGTTGTTTTTTTTAACTATCAAGGGTTCTCCAAAATGTTGTAAAAGTCAACTTCCTCCCATCTCCAGGTGTGGAGTGATGCAGGGACTCAGGTGTTCTACTCCTACGCTGTGTGTCAGGGAGTGCTGACGGCTCTGGGCAGCTACAATAAATACAACAACAACTGCTACAGGTCCTCACAAACACACACACACAAACACACACACACACACATTAGCACCTTCAGTTTTACATCACTCTTTAGCTGGTTCTTGTCATGTTGCAGGGACTGCTTGGTGCTGTGTTGCCTGAACAGCGCCACCAGCATCTTCGCCGGCTTCGTCGTGTTCTCAGTGTTGGGATTCATGGCTTCAAACCTCGGCGTTCCTGTAGAGGCATTCGCTGCCTCCGGTGAGTTATTGATACACTCTTCACTGTTTTTTTTTTTTTGCTGTCAACTTTACAAGGTCAGTTTCAGCATAAATATCCTGAAACAGCTGCACTTCTGAGTTTAATCCATTGACAACAACCATCAGTGTCCACAAGATGGCATCTTATGTTTAGGTACAGTTGAAGGGGTTTTCAGTCAGGGGTGTTTCAAATAATAACCTTCTACAACACTGTTTTTTTCATATGATTTATTGCTATTGCTTTTATTTTTATGTTTTATTTGTGTTTAATTGACCAGGCAAAATTTTCTTTTTAAGAAATGTTTTCCAACCTGAGGGTCAGGGTGCCTCGAGGGGTCGCCAGATTTTCCACAAAATCCTGTTTAATTATTTGTTTCTACCATCTTTTGGCTCTTTGTTTTTCCTCATGAAATGCTGGCTTCTTTCACCTCCTATGTATCCAAAGATTACCTTGAAGTTGCTTTTTGGAACCACTTTATCACAGGACTTTAATCTTAAAAATGAACATGTGTTAATTAAGAGATGCATTGACGTGCTTCCTGCAGGTCCTGGTTTAGCCTTCATAGTCTATCCTCAGGCGCTGTCGTTGCTTCCTGCCCCGTCCTTCTGGGCTGTGCTCTTCTTCCTCATGATCCTCTTCCTGGGCCTAGACACTCAGGTATTACATGGAGTGCGGCACACACCATACAGCATCTCAGTATTGTAGTCTAAATAGACTCATCTTCAGCTCTCTCCTCACAGTTTGTGTGTGTGGAGAGTCTGGCCACAGCCATCACAGACATGTTCCCACGTCGGCTGAGGAGGCGGGGCGCCAGAGAGATACTGGTCCTGGTCATCGCTGTCGTTTGCTTCCTGCTAGGGCTGCTATTCGTGACTGAAGTAAGCTGTAATGCTGATGCTCATTTTTGTTTTGTTTTGTGCTTGTTAGAAACTTCAAGGTGTAAAGTGTAAGCTGTAAGGATATTAAGATAATTACTGCTGCCACTCCTCAAGCCCTATACAATTATTGCTGCGGTTTTACAAGCCAGTAAAAAATGTACTGAGCTGCATCTGAGGAACCAGTAGTTGCGCAGCTTAAACTTTGTATAATCCTGCCCTCTTGTTGCCTCCAGGGGAGCCATTCAGAAAAAGCAGCTGCCACACAGTCCACCAGGCTTATTTACTTTCTAGAGCTGCTTCTGCTCACTCTGAAATAAGTCACAAGCAAAACACATCAAATCTTCTGCTGTTGGCTGCAAAAGTGAACACAAGAGTTATCATGCACTCCCTGCATCTGAGGAACTGAAGATGTAGTGGATTGCTTTCATTCATGATGGCAATGTCCTCATAACAATAGGAATGTCCTTACTGCACTTGAATACAGTCAAATTTGAAGAGATCGTCTCATTTGTTCTTATTTATTCTTTTATTGTTTCTGTTGTCAGACAACAACAACAGAACTGATATGCAGCCCTTTAACACAACTATGTCTAGACAACTATGTGGTGAACTATGTAGGGAGCACCTCGGCAAAGTAACATTTCGGACACTACTCAAGCTGTTAATGACGTCGCTCACTAGCCGTGATTTGTGCCGCAGCAGCGTAGAGCAAACACATCAGATTCAGTTTATTGCGTAGCTAAGAAACGGGTAAAATAAAATTTAACAAAACATAAACAGGAAATGACTTATAATGACAAGTTTTCATCCAGTTTGCGTTTCCTTTCGTGCAATGCGTGCTGGTCCACATTGCTCGGTTAGTGACCATCGGCTGTACACTGCTTTTCACGGTGCATTGTGGGATATTTTGAGTGCACTATGTCGGGTGTAACATTTTAACATTCAGACAGCACTACAAAATGGCGAGCACCCTATCTAGTGCACTATGCAGGGTGTTCACCAGTTTGTAGTGCCACGTGTCCTGCTTTGGGGGACTCTGAGTCAAAAAACTTGCAGAAATAATAGTGTTCCAAACAATAAGATAGAAAAACTGTGTTCTTTCTGACACCTTTGTCTTTTTTAATCCCTGTATTTTTTTCTGTTTGTGTTTCAGGGAGGGATAGGCCTCTTCCACGTGGTTGACACCTATGGTCCCAGTGGAACCAGTCTCCTCATCATTGCCTGTGCAGAGTGCATCATTATCGGCTGGATTTATGGTAAGTCACTACACTGCTGCAATATTTCTCCAGTGATTAGTTCCAGTTATTTCTAAAAAAGTTTCAGACAAACAGTTTCTTTCAAACTTCAGAGGGCATTTACATTAAAGCTCACTAATTTGGCTCTAAATTGGCAGGATGACAATCTTCTGTGATAACATTAAATACATGGGATATGTCGTTTATCTCCACAGAGGCTACAAAAAAGGAACTTCATTATATTTCCTTAGCTCATACACCTCAAACAGCAGCATTTGTTTCATCAGTGTAATGAACTTATCTTAACTTATCTGTGTAGGCTTATCTCTTAGAGACGAACTTCTGATGAATTAAAATGTGGAGATTTGCAGTTTTGTTTTTCATCCTGAGTAAAATTAAAACATCTCTACCATCGGCATTGAAAGGGACATTTTGATGAGATCGGGGGAGATAATAGTCCTTTGCTAATTTATGTTTTAGAATATCTAGAGACAATTACTTACATTACATCTGTGTGAAAAAGTTTTGCATGTGGGTCCATAGACGATACTTAAAAGTTGGATGTAGCCTCAGGTTCTGGAAAGTGAGGCCAATGCACAAGTGTCATAAACTGCAATGGCTGTGAGGATTGGGGGGCGCTACTCTGTCGGAGCGACTCCTGACAAGGCTCAGTGACGTTACAGAGTCCCACTGGCCCGCAAAAACATCCATAAGAAATCCTTCATTCTCATTGCAATAACCACCCTGAACAAGATGAAATAAGACACTGAACAGTACATTTTATCGGCTGCTATTTCTTTTTAACAATTCTTTTAGACGACTGCGCTTTGTGAGCTTGTGTCTTAAGTGTGTTTTTATATGTGTTGTATTTTTATTGTTGGAGCCTTGTCAAAGAAGAATTTCTGTCACTATTTGGGACAGACAATAAAGTCTATCTATCTATCTATCTATCTATATCTATCTATCTATCTATCTATCTATATCTATCTATCTATCTATCTATCTATCTATCTATCTATCTAATGGACAGCAAGGGGCAACTCAACTATTTGCATTAAAGTCTATGAGAAAATGGTCGTACTTAGAACTGGATCTGCTACCTCAGTAAACAAACTGGCAAAGAATGGTATAACTGGACGACACTTCGGAAGGTGTTGCGTGTCAAAGTGGCATCCGTGGATGCCAGGATCTAAGGTTGGCAGAACATTGCTTCGTAAAAAGATGATTGTGTCAAACACTTTAACTGTCAGTTAACAGTTGGTTAGCTTAGCGTAGCATAAGCCATGGAAACAGGGAAACAATTAGCTTAGCTCTGTTTAAAGTTTAAAAGGTAAATCAATCAACACATCTGAAAGCTTACTATTGGCTTAGTATTAACATCTTAGGTCTTTCTTGAGTAATTAAAAGCACATGGTTTTCATGCTAAGCTAAGCTAGCAAACACCAGGCTATAGCTTCATATTTATACATGAAAGTGGCCTGATTGTTGTGCAGTTATTACAAAACTCTAAATGTATGGTAGGTGGTATCTCTCTTGTCTTTTTAGTAGTTGTTTTGTTTTTTTTTACCTTTCTTGGTTTATCAATTAGATTTAAGCAGCTGAAGTTGTAGCATTTTTAATGTTGCTACCAAAACACTTGCCATTCCTGAAGTTCTCATAAGACTTGGTCATGAATAATGGACAAGAAATGAGGTGTTCCACTGCCTGTGTTTCCTCTTAGTTGGAGGATGACAATCTGTCAGTTCTTCTGGCGGCTGAGAAGAGTTGAGGTTTGCAGAGATTATGTCTGCACAGAGGGATCAGTGCTCCACCTACTGGTTGGAAACCTGAAGCAGCAGCATCTGCTTTAAAGTCAGAAATCTACAACAGACACAGGACACATGATTTTATTTTTCTTCCCAGTATTCTTCTCTGTTCTTTCAGTTGCTGTGCCTCGCAACTATTTCCCTCTGCCTCACTCTCAAATATTAATCTTTCACTTCTCCTCCATACCCCAGTCTTCTTCTGTCATCATTCTGAATCAAGCTGCAGAGCTTCCTCCACTTCCTACACCTTCATTATGAGCAGTATTACAGACTAAATGAGATCATGTGGGTGGCGAGTTCCTCATATATTCCTCATCTCTCACTTCTCAGAGCGTATTGATTCAAGCCATTTTCTTTAATGAAACTGAAGCTGTGTATCACTTACAGATATATTACATTTCCCTCTGAAAAACCTCCTGACCATGTGTATTTCCTCACTTTCTGTGACTCTGAGGCTTTTCATTTTACTATTTCCTGAACTGCTTGCGCTTTGGAATCATCCGCCGATGCAGAGTGAGATATCGATCAGTTTCTGCACCAGCTTCCTCTTCCCGCTGAGTTGTTTAGCCGTTTGTTTAGCCTCTCTGCCTCTTCACAGTGAGTCTCTGTTGAGATATTTCCTCACCCGTATTTAGACGAGGCCTGTCACCTTCCTCCTCTATGAAGATGCTGATTGTTTCGAGGCTGATTACTGTATCATTTACAGAGCTGCGTTTGCTTTCCTTAATAGGCTTGTCATCTTCTTTTTTTGCAAAAATCAATCTGTTGTTTCATCAAGCAGGTCTTGCACTTTTCTCACATCAGCTTCCTCCTGTTTGTTTTCTTTTTTTTTTAATATCCCGCCTTCTTTCTATGTCAGCTGAAGGTCAGCAGTTTCCTCCTCTTCATCATTTACCTCTGCTCCTCATTAGCTCACAGCTCCTCGTTTGAACCGCCTGATTTTTATCGAGAATCATTTTGACTTTTATTTCCCTGTTGATCTGCTGTTTGTTTATTAGGTGGCTAACCCTCCTCCTCACATATGCAGTCCAAAATTAGTTTGTGTTTCTGATGTTGCATCACTAAATTCATTGCTAGAATCAGGACTTGACAGACATGCGTTGGTTCTTTTCTGTCTTGTATTTATAGACAGCATTCTAACTTCTGACTTCATTGCTTGATCATTTTTACTTTCTGTAGGTAATAAGAACAAACTATATGATTGTTAGTTGTTCTTGGAGGAATGCCAACAACACAGTAGGACGCTGCTTTGAGAGTGGTGATGCGTTCTATTGATGGAATGTCTTTCAGTAATAGCTGCTGTAGTAGGCTGGTACAAAACTGTTGTACAAAGTAATATATTTATTTTACCACTCAGTGAATTCTCAATGCAGCAGCTTGTGAACATGAAAGCTCTTCAACTTCTTACATTTACCTACATTTAGTAATCAAGAAGTGCATTTAAGTCTAACACTGTTCTATAGCAAAGCACATGTACATTTCTAAAAGGACAATAAACTAAACAACATAACAACAACAACATATTTATACGCTGCTCAAAAAAATAAAGGGAACACTTAAACAACACAATGTAACTCCAATACAATCACTGTTATGCCCAGCTCGTTGAAGAGCATAACAAAGAAGGGAGGTCGACACGGGAACAGCTTTTAAAATAAATGAGAAATTTATTGAAAACATTCAACAAAGGAAAACTGATGATAAGGTCCATAAACCCAGGCTAAACTCAACATAATCAAACCAAACCAAACCAAACCAAGAGAGACCTGAAAAGCTCCAGCCTTCCAGAAGGGAGAAAGAAGAGAGAGCCATCTTGGATTCACCCAGCTTTTAAAGGGCACCAAGCAGGTGAAACCAGTCCTTTAATGAAGTGGGAGGAGCAGGTCATCCAGACTGGGAAAAGGAAAGCAGAGGCAGGAAAACACACTGACAAGGCCTGTGACCGTCACATCACACTTCTGTAACAGCAACCTGTCCAGTAAGGAAGCAACACTGATGGTGAATCAGTTTCACCTGCTGTTGTGCAAATGGAGCAGACAACAGGTGGAGATGAGAGGCAATTAGCAAGACAACCCCTATAAAGGAGTGGTTCTGCAGGTGGTGACCACAGACCATGTCTCTGTTCTCATCCTTTCTGGCTGATGTTTTGGTCACTTTTGTATTTTGTCAGTGACCTCACCCCTAGAGGTAGCATGAGGCGTGTCTACAACCCACAGAAGATGCTCAGGTAGTGCAGCTCATCCAGGATGGCACAGCAATGCCAACTGTGGCAAGAAGGTTTGCTGTGTCTCTCAGCACAGTGTCCAGAGCCTGGAGGAGATACCAGGAGACAGGCCAGTCCACCAGGAGACGTAGAGGGGGCCGTAGGAGGGCAACAACCCAGCATCAGGACGCCACATCCTCCTTTGTGCAGGAGGAACAGGAGCAGCACTGCCAGAGCTGCAGAATGACCTCCAGCAGGCCACTAATATGCATGTTTCTGCTCAAACTGTCAGAAACAGACTCCATGAGGTGGTATGAGGTCCTGATGTCCACCAGTGGGGCTTGTGCTTACAGCCCAACACCGTGTAGGAAGATTGGCATTTGCCAGAGAACACCAAGATTGGCAGATTGGCCATTGGCACCCTGTGCTCTTCACGGATGAGAGCAGGTTCACACTGAGCACATGTGACAGACGTGACAGAGTCTGGAGACGCTATGGAGAATGTTCTGCTGCCTGTAACATCCTCCAGTATGACCAGTTTGGCTGTGGTCAGTAATGGTGTGGGGAGGTATTTCTTTGGAGGGCCACACAGCCCTCCATGGGCTAGCCAGAGGTACCCTGACTGCCATCAGCTACCAGGATGAGATCCTCAGACCCATTGTGAGACCATATACTGGTGCAGTGCAAATTCACTTTTTCACCACTGGCCTCATTTAGAGCCACACTAAAACCCTATTATAATTGTAGAAAACTTTGAAAAAAAAACCCACCTAATAACGGAAAATAACTACCCAACAAAATCTAGATTTCAGTGCTGCTGCATCCCAACGTTCAGGCTTCATCTTCTCGTTCTGTTTTCAGTGAAGTGCCCCATGTGTTTGAGAGTATTCCCTGTAAAAAGCACACTGTTTTCCTCCCTTTGATTGATTGAACGCCTTTGCCCTCTGCAGGTGCGGACCGCTTCTATCACAACATTGAGGACATGATCGGGTACCTCCCAATCCCGGTGCTGAAGTACTGCTGGCTGTTTGTCACGCCGCTCATCTGCGGGGTGAGGCCTCACACCTGGGTCACATCTCTGTTGTCAAACACTTTGGTTCTTTCTTTCTTTCTTTCACACTGAATCTCTGCTTTAGTGCCAATTTCCTCTCATGTTTTCATTTATTTTCTTCCTTAAATTATTTCTGAGCACAGACATTCTGCAGCCCCTTGTCTTCTTGTCTCCCTCTCCGTTGGTCTTTCATCTTTGCTGCGTATTTCACAGGCAGTGTTTCATTTCGCCACATCAGTAATTATGTTCGAGCGCACACATGGGAGAGAAGAGGAGAGACTTCCTCCTTTATCTGAAATTGTGGACTCATCTGTTTTAAAACACACTTCAATGCAGACATGATCCGTACACGGACGGCAAACACAGCAGGCGTATTACTTCAGAAATGAAGTCAGTATTTTCATAATAGCAAAATGTAAAATGATCACGTCAAAACAAGCTGACTGTGCAAAATGTGCTGCTCATAGTGATGGATTATCTTTCAAATCTGCAGCCCCCCCCCTTTAACTATATGCAGCTTCATCCTGAGTTTCATGTTTAGCTCATATTTTGGTTCGCTGTCACAACTTTAAAAGTATTGATTTTTGTTGCATCAGGCAGCTCGTTTAATGAAAAAACGAGCTGGTCACTACCTATTCAGCATCCAGACAGACACATTTAGAAACTAGCTTGATGTTAAAACAAAGGCTTTAGCAGCCAAAGAGCCAGATCTTTCTGCAAAGAGCGAGGTGGAGACCGAAAACCGTGCAAAAAGAGAGTGATTTTTGTATTTACATTTACAAGACTAACAGAAACATAACTCTGAATGAATGCTCCATAGCTGATGCACCACAAGGCACAGCATCACGTCTGTTTTACTTTGTTTCTTTCTAACTTGTTCATTTTCCATCCCCTAGCTTACAGTGCTGTTTAACCTGTCAACAGTGAGGTCAGTCTATATCCGCGGTTATATACCTGGATCCTTGGTCTCCATAGTGGGCTTCCTACTTGTCGCCACGCCTCTGATCTGCATCCCAGTATACATTCTGGTCTCACTGTGCAGGGTGAGTGAACTCAAAACCATCATTTTCAAATTTAATTTCATACTTCTCATGACTCAACAATTTGCATTGCTTTTCTTTTCTACTAATCAGGATGGCGACAACATGACCACACCTTCCAGACACCTGCGTCAGGCCAAACCACACAAGCCGGTGCTCACGTTGTGTAAATTCGTCATCTTCAAGGCACAGGGGCCGCCGAACCGGAGCGCTGCTGACAGAAACGAGAAGATGATGATGGAGGAACCCAGTGGGGTTTGATATTTGCTGATAGCATCTTTAAATCTGTAGATACCTGTAAGACAAAACATCTTTTTTTTTTTTTTTAAAAGAATTCATATTCAACTTTTTTAAAGTGTTTACACATTTCATGAGTCTTCAGGGAGATTTGTTTATGCGTTTTGCTCGTACATTAATCTTTGCCTTACTACCTTTTTACTTATGAATGACAATGTAAACGTCCTGGTATGGTACATTTACTTTTATACCTTTATCCCTGCATACAGTAACTGCCTTTAAATAGCACTCCATTATTTTCAAATAGGGGTGCTGAGTAGGAGTGGGTGAATCGAGGTGGGCGTTGGGTTAGGTCTAACAGTTGTTGGTACGCCCACTGGTTGGGGAATGCCCAATTTGTGTTCTGCAGAGACTCCTCACTCATTAATCTAGCATTGCACCCCTGTACCATTTATGAACACATAATTGATGGTATAACTAACATTTGACTTAAATATATTATCTTTCTTATGCATTCTTGGTTCTACATTACCCACAATCAAGTGACATCACTTAAGACAGTTTATTAGACTTACAGGAAGTCCAGTCCTTGTTACCCCCCTTGGTCCTACCACTTGTACCTTATCCCTACTTGGAGAGCTACATGACCACTGCCCTATAATCCCTGCAGGAAACAATATCCCCGACCCTATGTGGGACCGATTAGAGGTAGGGCCAAGGTGGGGAATTGAGACTGAGCCTTAACTCATGTGCAACAGCTGCAAGAAAAATCAGTGCCTTTACCCTTTAAAGCAACATACATCATGCTTCTTGCATTTGCCACATTTTAGTTGTGACCAAGTTTGCGTAGCTTTTCCTAAAGACCGCCTCAGTGTACATTATGTGTTTAACCTCGTTAACATGTCCATATGGTGTTTTTTTACATGCTGGAAGACATGTCATGAGCACAGTAAGCATGTCTGAACATTCCCACCTTAAAAACTGCAGGGTACCAATGAGTCTCAAAAACATAAATTCAGACTACAAAGGTTTCATATATAACAAACCAAACCCCGTCAACTTGCAGTGTGGGGCTTTCTGTATCATTGTTCTTCTTCAGACTCCAGTTTGACCATGTATACCTGCATTACTCCAATATTTCAATTTGCCATTGTGTGGTGTTGAGAAAGTTTGAGCAGAATCATAGGTGAGCTGGTGTGCTCAAGCTGCAGCTTGGAGAGACAAGCAGAGACTTTATCGACATTTTAGAGGAAGCAATGATATCGTGTTACATCTAAGCCACTTTTTTTTTTTTTTTTTTAAAGGCAGGAAGGTATTACTTTTATGGAAAAACCTCTTAATATTCAACTCTGATACACAGATGAGTTTTTAAGGCTTTCATCAACAACTACAGAGGGACTTTGATTTTACTGGAGAAGCCACGCTTAATCAAATGCACCATGCAAGACAAGCTGTCACATCCGGTAATGTTCATGTCAGTTAATGCCAAATATAAATAAGAGTTGATGAATTCTGTTATGTTCCTGGAAGGATGCCGTCATGGATTTTAAAGGTTTGTAAACGCGGAAGTCAAGCCAATTGAATGGTTGTAATCAATTCAAACAGGTCTGTGTGTTTTCTTCATTTATTATGTATGTTTGTATCTTGTGTGGACAAATGTGATCCACGTTTCAGTAAAAGTATCAGTATGTCCCAATATCCTGGTGCAGCCTGTCTCTTTGATTTTTGTCCACATCGATTTGTGATCTGAGAACATAAACATTCTGTGCAAGGGGTCAGCTCATCAGTTCAATTATTGGATCTCCGTCCTCTGTTTCCTGTTTTCTAGCAAGAAAACAAAAAAAAATAGCACATGTCTGTATGTCTTCCTACCATTTTTAATTGTATATCTACTGAAAGAGAACTTCTACCTGGTAATGAAATGACTAAAAGCCTGCGTATGTGTGCGGTGACGCTGGATGTGTGCGATTGTTGAACAATGAACTTGCTTCAACGTAATGCCAAGCTCAGTCATCTGTGTGATCCAAACCGGCATTCAATTAACAGACAATTCTGCCCAGCTGCCTCCCGCCTCTCCTCACCCTCAGTCCCTCCCCTCTGCCCCCGATGGCACACAGTGACCCTCAGTCCTGAGCAGGTCTTGACCTGGAGGCATTAAAAACCTACCACTGGATCAGGTGGGTCAAACTGTGGCTTGAATTTGTCATTCATGAGAGCATGAAAACCAACAACAAGAAGCTGGTGACGCTCTGGTGGCCATAAAATGTTCCTCAAGTGTTGGAGAACAGCAGTAGTAATGTGGAAGGTCACGCCCCCATTTTGTATATTGATGGTTGTGCGCTCGTATTAGAAGCAAAGCAGACGGTTGCCTGAGGCTGGATATAGAACCATAGGTTTAAAAGTGTTGCAGCACTTCCAGTATTTATAATTAGCTTTTACATAACCAGCTGCTACCCCACTGCAGCACAGAGCCACAGTCATTGCAATGGAAAACCCCAAACTTTGGCAACAACTGACAACCGACATGTCATACAAGTACAGAAACCAACAAGCTGGAAAAAAAAAAGGAGGCCAGTAGGGCGTTAACAAGTGTCATGGAAACTACAATAAAATCTGATCATCTTCAGTATTTCACCCTCAAACAAACTCAAGTTTTATCTTCAGGTTGTTACAAATTTACTGCCAATTGTACAAAATGATGTGCTTAAGTTTAGAAATACCTAAAAGCTGATTCTGTAGCTAGATTAAAGGTGTAATCCAAGAATGTAATGTTGTACTTCAGTTCAACTTGGTACCCACAAGGAGGCCATTTAAACAAAGTCAATGCAGGAGAAGCAGAGACATTCTGAGTTTTAGGTCCTAATGTGGGTCAAGTTTCAAAAACCCCTGGATCCTTAATTTCCTGTCTTTCATTGGGCCTTTTCCTGATTGGTAAACACTGATGACTTGATCTCCACATCTCCATATTCAGCTGAACGTAGTGATTGCAAATCCACAGTTGTCTGCTGTAAACGGAGAAGTTTAAAAGGGTGTTCATGTAGTATTCTGAAATATTCTTAGAAAACGTTATCAAAAGGCTGACAGGGGACTATCTCAGACTGGTTTTCTTGTATTGTTCGTGTCATCATTTGGACATTTTTATCTCCTGTAACATAACTTAAGCTGTGACACGCCTCTAGACAGGTTTCCTTCCTGAGTCTGTCCTTGCAGGGATCTGAACTCATCAGAGTGATTCATGTCACCTGGGCTGACTGCTCAGTTCTCAATATAAGCTGGTCCAGTTTGACAGTCACACTTTCCTTTTGTTGGGTTTGGTATCATTGAAAATACACAAATTCTTTGCCTAAGTCATTTTGGGACTCCACTTTAACTACCTTTAATAAAAGCATGACACCAAGTGAATCTGTGGGTATATGTTTTCTCTCTCTTTAATGTTCAACAAGTTTTATTTCTACAGCAGCTTGATCTTGTTTGGGTCATTCAGACATCTTAGGCATTTTAGGGCAGGAAATTATTTATTTCAATGGAGGAAAAAATGCAAAATGTGTAACTTTGAAGCACAGAGGCGAGTTTTTAGGGGTTGAATCAATGACAGCAAAGGGATTCTAAACCAAAATGGCTTCTAGGTGTTTCTTTGTCTGGAACATTTCTCACTCAACAAATGTCTGCAAATGACACATTGGGCTGGACATACATCACTCTGTGCTGCATTTATAGCCGTCACTACCTGCCCATATGTCTTCATCAATGTTTAATGATGCCGTTGATTGTTTGCTGTGCTCAGCAACATTTCCCACAGGGAACAAAAAAAAAGGGGAAAAGCGTCTGACCTTGTTGTTTCTTAAGATGAACGCAACACTGAATGCATCATAGTAACAGATTTTTTTTTTTAGAAAATTCCATATAAAAGATTATATTTCTGCCTGATTGCTTCTTTAGGGCTTTTATGGCGACAGTGCCTGGATGTAATTTATTTTGGGGCTCATAAAGGACAATGACTTTGCATTTAACAAGGTCAAGAGGATTGCAGTGATAAAACATGACTCAGGGGTGACGGAAGGAGAGCAGAATGAAATTTAGAATGAGTCTGCTGATAGATCTCCAGGGGATCGCCCACTCTGAAACTCTACCAGATTCATGGTTCAAGCAAACTGTAAATGCAGACATTTCAGTGGCCTGTCACTTCTTTTATCTGATGTTCTCTCTCTTCCTGATTTTTCTTTCCATCTCCCAGCCTTCTTCTGTGTCTTACAGTCATTTTCCTGTTTCTATGTATCTTTTCATCTCATTCCCCTCTTATCTACCCGGGCACGGCTGCTATATATCAGCTTTCCCCATTTTTATCTTACTATCTTTTCCTTCTGCCTCCTGACTCATATCTATACCTTTCCCCCCCCTACACCTCCTCATTCTTTCTCTTCCCCCCCAGCTCCCTTGTCTTTCATCTTTCCACTCTTTCCCTCTCATTAACACAATCATGCTCCCTCTGATGTGCACCTCGCCCCGCGTTTGTCCTTAACCTGTGGAAATTTATGCACCGCACTTCATCCTACCACATTACTAGATGAAAATGTTGCAAGTGTTACCCCGCCATCCACGCATGCCAATCGCCTCTGGGTGTTCCTCGCTTTATTATAACCCCCGCATTGATTCACAGACCACAACACGTGCGGTGAATTAAAGGAAGCTTTGCAAGGAGGCCTCAAAGGCAGCCCCCCCCCACCCCCCCTTACCTTAAACCCATTTTTCACGCTGAGGTTATTGAGGAATATTTTTACCTTTTAATGAACTGAGTTATAACATGCAAATCTATTGCTTTCTTGATATATTCACTCTGCATTGAAGTTGCAGTAGTTGGAATCATAAAGTACTTTCACTTTCATTTCTTCATTCATTTGATTTTCATTTGACCAAAAAAAACAAACAAACCAAATCCAAAGCCTAAAATAATGTCTGAATAGGATGAAGTTGAACTTATTAACTTCTACCTGCTATGTTGAAACCAGAAGTTTACACACACTGTATAAAAAGTCAGAAGTTTACATACACTAAGATTACTACGCATGTAAACAATTTGGGAAAGCCCAGATGATGATGTCATGGCTTATGAAGCTTTTGATTGGTTAATTGACAACATTTGAATTAACTGGAGGCACACCTCAAATGCACTGCTTCCTTTTGTGACAATCTAAAGAAATCAGCCAAGGTATCAGGAAGAGAATTGTGGACCTCCACAAGTCTGGTTCATCCTTGGGTACAATTTCCTGAAGGTTCCACGTTCATCTGTTCAAACATAAGTATAAACACCATGGGAATGTGCAGCCATCATACAGCTCAGGAAGGAGACGGGTTCTGTGTCCCAGAGATGAAGTGTCCTGGTGTGAAATGTGCGTATCAACTCCAGGACAAAAGCAACAGATCATGTGAAGATGCTGCTGAAGCTGGTCAGAGAGTGTCATCATCCACAGTGAAACCAGTCCCGTACCGACATGGGCTGAAAGGATACTCAGAGAGGAAGAAGACATTACTCCAAAAGCAACATAAAAAAGACAGATTACAGTTTGCAAATGCACACAGGGACGAAGACCTTAATTTTTGGAGACCTGTCTTGTGGTCTGACGAAACTAAAATTGAACTGTTTGGCCAGAACGACCATCGTTACATTTGGAGGAAAACGGGGAAAGCTTGAAGCCTGAGAACAGCATCCCAACTGTGAAGCACGGGGGTGGCAGCATCATGTTGTGGGGGTGTTTTGCTGCAGGAGGGACTGGTGCACTTCACAAAATAGATGGAATCATGAGGAAAGAATATCATGTGGAAATATTGGAGCAACATCTTAAGACATCAGTCAGGAAGTTAAAGCTTGGGTGGAAATGGGTCTTCCAAATGGACAATGATCCTAAGCATAGCGCCAGATTAGTTACAAAGAGGCTTAGGGATAACAAAGTCTTGGAGCTTTGGAGTGTTAATTTTTTTGTATTCTTTTTAAACTGGTTTTATAGTTGTGCTCATGTCATCATCCTGACTGTTCCATAAGTTTACCCCACATATCGATAAACATCTCCTCTTCACGAGCAAATGCTTTTTTACATTGAAAATTTCCACTGAGTTTATAATTTGCAATTTTACTTCTGAAAAGTTGCTGTATGTTATCAAAGAGTAACTTGTTGCTTGCATTGAACATTATTTTAATTTTTTAATTACAAAGTATTTGCTTTGGAAAACAATATGTTAGTGTGCTCATTATATAAGCACACTGAGAACACTGATGCTAAATTAGAACTTTGAGCATGTATAGATTATCTTTTGTTGAAGCACTTTCCTTCTTCATTATTTCATGTACAAGAGCTCGTGCAGATGTGGCAGAATATGCATTCCTGCTGGGTGTAGGTGAGTTTTTTTCCATCTCAATATGTACAGCAGTCATCAGCCAATCACAGCAGGTTGGCGTCCTATAAAAGCAGGTAGTTCACCCGTTTACCTGGTGTCTGTTACAGGTGTGGGAGCAGCTGCTGCATCTTCTGTGGCTTGCTTTATTCTGTCCATATCTGGTATTAATGCAGATATCATTGTGGTCACCCCCTCGGATTTCTGCCGGTAGGTCCTCCTTTTTGTTGTCTGTTTGCATTAGATATAGATGTTGGATATGTAGTGCTTTGTCTCAGATGGCTGCTGTAGCCCCTGACTCACTCCTCTAC